TTCTGTGATGATGGGAGGAAATGGCCCATGTCTGGGCTCATACAGCAGCCGCTAGTCATATGTGGCTGCTCAGTGTTTGAAACGTGGCCAGTACATGTGAGCGATGGTTTTTTATTTTTTAATGTTTGTTTATTTATGTATGTATGTGGCTGCACTGGGTCTTAGTTGTGAAACATGGGAAGTTTAGTTGTGGCATGTAGGGTCAGCTTCCTGACCAGGAAGCTAGGAGCACTGGGGTGTGGAGTCAGCTGCTGGGCCACAAGGGGAGTCCCCAAACTGTTTTTTTAATGAAGGTTTAATAGTCACATTTGACTAGTGACTTGGCTTCCCTGATAGCTCAGTTGGTAAAGCCTCTGCCTGAATGCAGGAGACCCTGGTTCAATTCCTGGGTTGGGAAGATCCCCTGGAGAAGGGAAAAGCTACCCACTCTAGTATTCTGGCCTGGAGAATTCCATGGACTGTATAGTCCTTGGGATCACAAAGAGTGGGACATGACTGAGCAACTTTCACTTCACCACACTGGGCACATAGTTCTAATTCATAGTACTGTTGTAGAATAAAATGTACAGTACTTGGATGATTTTAAAAGTAGGCATTGAAGTAACACATGAGCTCTCATTAAATGTTAGTTATTACTTCTGCTGCCGTCCACTGATGGCATTTGGTCACTTGCCCACTCTCCTTGAAGAAAGACTATGGCATCTGATTCACCATCTTCCTTGCCACCTCAGGTCTTTAGCAAATCCAGGTGGCTTCAGCGTTCATGCAGGTCGTCCAGTGGCACCCTGGTCTCTTGAACTCCAACGACTCACCTCCATTCTGCCCTAGCCACTCACTCCCATAGCCACAACCTCTACCACACCCTCCCAGGAGAGCTCAATGGAATCTCACCCCTTTGTCTCTGACCACAACATGCCAACCTTTCAATTCTTTCCTTCCCTTGCCCCCAGGAAGTCTGATCTTTAGGTTGGTCGAGACTTCCAGTTCCTTGACTCTATTCTTTCCTTTCCCACTGGCTCTTGTCTTTACTTCTCTTCCTCACCAGGTTGATTCCACAATGCTTCACTTCTCCTCCTCCTCCATGTGGTCCCCTTCTTCATTATTATTAACCTTCTGAACAGTTCTCCCGGTTTCAGATTTACTGTTTAAATCCACTCTCCACACTGCAACCAGGGTAGTTTCTCTACTAAATCTCATCATATTGCTCACCTGCCCTAAATCCTCTGCTGTTCCCCATTGCCACCTACTACCCTTTCCAGAAGGTGCCACGCTCCCACAGCATCCATGCTTTTGCACATGCGAGACTCCCTGCCCGGTTTACCTCTCCTCTTGTCCTTGGTCTGAGCAACGTCTTTTTTCCCTTTAAGGTTCAGTCTGGGCATCACCTACCGATCTCTCCCCTCCCCTACGTAGTTTAGGTGCCCCTCCCACGTGCTCCCACGGAGTCACAGTTCTCATGACGCTGGGCTGTGATGTGAGATATCATTGTTAACAAACCCGACTCCCTGTCTTGGCTATGAGAGCCTGAGAACAGACACCCAACACACTGCTACTGACTTCACTGGACACAGATTTTGGGAGGATTGCTGGCTACCAGTTCAATTCACTTTTCTAAAGGTGGAGGGATTTGAATGTGTTTGTATGTTGAGGGTTAAGAGCTATAATAAGGAACTGCCTGGTGGTCGAGTGCTTAGGACTTGGCACTTTCACAGCTGAGGGCCCAGGTTCAATCCCTGGTTAGGGAACTAAGATCCTGCAAGCTGTGAGGTGTGACCAAAACAAAATGACTTGCAGTAATTAGTGAATGAGAGGCTGGAGGGGATAATGACTGGAACAGTGCCTGGGGAGGCAGATGAGGTCCTGAGCGGACGGAGGAACATCCTTCCGGCAGGGGCAGAGACAGGCTCTCCTCCGAGCCTGCAGGGAGGGTGCAGGTGCTCCTCCATTGGCAGGGAGCAGGAAACTGGAGGCTCCCAACTGGTAAGTCTCTGCTTCCTCTAATCTAAATGGTGAGCTGGGATCAAGGTGAATGGAAATTTGCTGGGAAGAGCAAGGACCTGGGAGACACAGCTGCCTGGGGACCCAGAGCAGCTTCCCACACTTCTGTGAACTTCTCCCCATCCTTCCGTCCTCCACCCACGAATGTCAGGCCTCTGTCCAGTGCTCCTAAATGCGGCCTGCATTCATCTTGGCTGTGAAATGTACTAAGCTCCTGCCATTAACCCATCACTAAGTTTAGTCCTCACATAAGAGAGTTTGTGTAAAACAGCCCACCCCAGGTACAGTAAACACGAGGTAAATGGTAGTCTTTGTATTGACTAGCAAGGATAAGTTTGTTTTTTTTCTAGCTGCATGGCAGCATTTACAGGATGATATGTGCCCCTGCCCTCCAGGAACTTAGGTCCTTGTCAGAGAAGGATGTACCCGTATAATAATTAAAAAGCAATACAAAGTGATATGTGATAGTTATTGTCTGGTTGCTAAATCATCTCTCTCTCTCTCTTTTTCTTTTTCATGTCCAACTCTTTTGCGACCCCATGGACTACAGCCCACAAGTCTCCTCTGTCCATGGGGTCTCCCAGGCAAGAATACTGGAGTGGGTTGCCATTCCCTTCTCCAGGGCATCTTCCTGACCCAGGGATTGAGCCTGTGTCTCCCGCATTGCAGATGGATTCTTTATCACTGAGCTACCAGGGAAGCCTCGTGTGATGGTTACCAACATCCAAACGGCGCTTTGTTTTTGATCACAACCAGCACTGAAAAGTCTCTTTTCCATCAAGACCTAGAACTCAAATAAATATATAAAAGTGAAACAAATTTCATTAGACACTACTTATCCTCACTTTGTGTCATGCATTCTGGTATTTTCTATTGTATTCTGCTTTTGTTTTTATTTTTTATTTATTTTTTCTACTTTGTTTTTAAACAGTGGTGGTGAAGGCTCACTGTAATGGGTTGAACTGTGCCTCTCAAAAATTCACAAATTAGTATGTTGAAATCATATATCCCTCAAAAATTCATATTCATAGGAGGTACCCTCAGTCCCTCAGAATGTGACCTCACTCAGAGACAGGGTCTTTACAGAGGTAATCCTTAGGGTGGGCCCAAATCCAATATGACTGGTGTCTTTAGAAAAAGGGGAAATTTGTGAATTCACTGGCGGTCCAGTAGTTAGGACTTAGTGCTTCATTGCCAGGGCATTGGGTTCGACCCCTGGTCTTGGAACAGGATCCTATGTGGCTTGGCAATAGAGGGGGGAAATTTGGAGACAGACTTGGATGCAGGGAGAATACGACATGAACAGAAGATGGCCATCCACAGGCTGAGTAGAGAGGCCTGGAATGAGTCCTCTCAGTTCTCAGAGGGGACCAACCCTGCCAACACGCTGATCTTGGACTTCTAGCCTCCGGCACTCTGACAGAATGAATTCCTTTGGTTGGTTAACTCCCTGCCTCAGCAAAAAAACAGACTCACTTGATTGATTTCGTGACTCGCTATTGGGTTGCAACCTGCAGTCCCCAGACTGCAACGTTCTTTTTTCTCTGCTTTTCCTCGTGCATTCTTCACAGCTGCTGATGGGATGGATGGCAGGGCCAGGAGGACGGTAAGGCAAGCAAGGAACCGACTCTCAGGGACGTGCAAGTGGGGGTGTCGTTACCAGCAGTCTAGCCACCTCCAAACTTATACGGCCTGAAGGTGAGCAGCTCCTCCGACTCAGCACCCTCAACACCTCACCCTGGCCTGTGTCAAGTGGGTACAACCCGTTTCCATTTGAGAGGCTGACACACAGTCACAAAGCTTTTGAGTGGAGCTTGACCCACGTCAGATACGCCTATAATTCCTCTGATGACATCACAGCCTCCCCGTCCATGCAATCAGTTAGAGAAGATGATAGTAAATACTGTTTTACTACTTGTATGTGCCTCTCACCTTCCTATCCCCCAAAGGAGTCAAAGTTAAAGACTCGAGTTCATGCCTCTGCTTCTCTTGCCAAAGTTCTGGGGGACATGGCCCTCCGGAGACCCTTAGTTTAGTCACCGTCTCTGGAAGTCAGCAGGCAGAGTGGGTGCCCAGCACACGTAGAATGCATGTGTCGTGAGCACCTTTGTGCACACATTGAGATCGACAGCAGCACCGCCAGCCGTATACACCCAGGGACAGGATCCCCGCCTGCCGTCTCCGCCCCAGCTCTCCCTCCTCCCCAACTGGGTGCCTCACAGACACAATAAATATATAAACACACACCTCCAACAGCCTCTGCCTTTGTGGCATTAATATTACCCTCAAATCTGGGGACCCTATGTCAGATAGAGGCTCTTCTGTCTCGCTCCTGCCTGGCTAGTTCTGGGACAATAAAATAGTGTCTGACGTTTGCTGTGTAGCAGGCATCATTCACACGTATTATTGCATTTCACTCTCACAACTTTGTACGTTAAGGTTATTATTTGCTCCATTTTACAGACAGCAAAGCTGAAGCACTGACAGTAAACAGCCCAGAGTTGTGCAGCTGGCACTGTTGGCAGGATCTGAACCCATGCAGCCTGTCTCCAGGGCCCAAGTTCTTAACTCCTACACTCTGCCTGGCTGGGCACTCGGAGCTGCACACACTTGCCCATCCACGTGGATGGGAGGGGGAGGAGCCAGCGTCTGGGAATCAGTTCGGACACCAGGGGGCAGCATAAGCCTGGCTTTGGCCCCGGAGCCCAGCCCTGTTGGGGGAGCGAGGAGGGGCGTAGAAACCGCTTCCCACCCCCCAGCACTCCGGAGACCACCCTTTCCCCCACACCCGTCTCTCGGGCTTGGGGGCTTGAAGGTCCCTTGGCCTCCTCCAGCTCCTCCTCCAGCCAGAGCTTCAAAAACCACCCCTAGGGACAGCGATGACTCAGAAGCTGAGCAAGCCTTGTGTGTGAGTGTGGCCTTGTGTGTGTGAGTGTGTCCTTGTGACTGCCTGTGGCTGAGTCCCGACGCGTCTGTGACCCTGCCTGCGCCTGTGTGTCAGCATGCGTGTGCGTGAGAGGGCGTGTCCTTCTGGCTGGGGAAGCTGTGTGCACGCACGTTTATTTCTGGGTGTGTCCCAGTGTTTACCCCAGAAACAGACAGGAACTTTGCCAAGGTTGCACAGCAGATTCGTATTCAAACTTGCCCCTTGGGAACCTACAGCCGGCAACTGCAGCCTGCCGCCAGCTCCTACCTGGGTGTCCGGAGAAGTGCCCCATGAGGAGGTGGCAGAAAGGATTTTCAGTCCCAGGCACCCCGGAGGCCTAGGGGATTGTGAGCTCGCGGTCCCCTCCCCCACTCCCTCCCATCAGCGGGTCACGAGACCTCTAAGGCGTCCCCCCCCTGCAGGGAGGGGGGCCGAGGAGTCCCAGCTCCCCAGCCGCTTTCAGGGTCCTCCACTGGAGGGAGCGCGGAGCCCAGAGGGATTTCTTTTTCCAGAGGCGCCCCCGGGGGGCGAGGGGGCAGCCCGAGTCCCTCGTGAGCCCAAACCGCAGGCCCTTCAGGGTTTTGAGCAGGGGAGCTGCAGTTTGGGGTGGCATGTCTCTGCTTGATATTAGGTGACTTTCTGGAGAAAAGTTGATTGTTTTCGATGGGGGACAGGGTAACTGGGGATCAGCCCTTCCTCCAGCCTGGCGCCAGTCCTGGCTCCCCTACTCCATACCAGAGGCACACATGCTCACCCCACTTTCTTCCTCTTCCTCCTCCAGCCCACTTTCTCTTCTCTCTGTCGTCAGAGCTCCAGGGAGGGACCTGAGTAGTCGGAGAAGCCGGAAACAGCGGGCTGGGGCAGCCACTGCTTACTCTGACGAGGGAGGACGGGAGAGGATTTTGTGTGTGTGTGTGTGTTTTTTTTTTTTCCCTCTTCTTTTTGGTGGTGGTGGTGGAGGAGGGGCGCTAGCAGGGCCAGTCCTGAACCCGCTGGACAGAGCTACAGACCCATGGGGCCTGGCAGAGCCCGCTGAGAGAGGGAGCCGACCACAGAGGGGTTGCCAAGGTGAGGGGATGCCTCCAAGGAGGGAGGGTGGGGGGCCTCTGACTCTCAACGCGGGGGGCGGAGGGGAGTGCCCTCAGGATCCTGCCTGGGCAGAACGGATGGTCCCCAGGAAACTTGCAGCTGGGGCTGGTGGCTGGTGTTACTGAGTTTTGGCAGTTTCGAAATATCAGAGGAATCCGGGGTGCGTACTGGCCCAGCAGCCGCCCCACTCCTCCCCAGCGTGGGTCACTTTTCCCACACGCCCCATCCCCCGCACCGCGGGGACGCGCTAACGCAGGGGAAGGAGGGCGAGCCGGCGCCCCTCTGCCCTCCGGGCTGGGGGGAAGTGGCCGCCCCTCCCTCTAGAGCGCTGATGGCAGCGGGCAGCGGGTCCTCCGCAGACCCCTCTCCGGGCCCCACGCAAAGGTCCCTCTTCAAGGGTGTGGCCAGGGGGTGAGCGTGTCCCAGAAGTAGAACCTCATGGTGCCCCAGAGGAGGGGGAATTTCCCCCTCAAAACTGCTCCACGCTTGGCCCGGCGGCGTCACGGAGTTAACCCTCCCGGTGCCAAACTGGCTCCGCCTCCCCGCGCCCCTCCCCGCCCCCACCGCCGCGCACACACTGGGCTACCCAGAGAGGCGCTTTTGACTGCTGATCCTGCGGCCCCACGGTCAGAGGGCTCAGGAATGTCGGGGGGTGAGGTGAAGTTCAGGCCCCGAAGCGGGGCTGGTGAAGATCCTAGACTTCCCTTCCCCATGGGGAAGGGAACGCGGGCCCCGCCCCCTCGGGCCGTGGCTCCTCCCTCCCTGCGGTGCTCAGGGGGGCTTACAGCAGAAGATGCCCCTGGCCTGGCAGGCCGATTGAGCCAGCCTGGTTATTGGGTGGGAGTAGGGGAAAGTCTGGGCCCTCGCTGTCTGAGGATGGAGTGGGCGAGATCTGAAGGTAGGGCCATGCCAGGAAGCTGGTCACTCTTCCTAATCTATGGGGTATGGAGAAAGGGGGCTGCCTCTGACTTAGGGATCACCTCCGTCCCGGTGGGGTAGAGACAGAGGTCAAAGGTCTGAGCACCCTGAGAAACAGGAGAGGAAGCGGGAAGAGAGGAATGAAGTCCTCCCTTGAGTTTGAAACACAGACCAAAAGATGCCCCACCCCAAGGTGGGTGTAGAGAAAGGTCTATGAGAGGACCCTGAGCAGGAGGGGGAGGAGTCTGCCTTTGGGAGAAAAGAGGTCTCGGGGATATAGGAACTGGGGGAGGAGCACGGATCTCCAGAAAAGGGGCCTGTCTGTTCTCCGCTCCTTTGGGAGTCCTGGGAGAGGGGAGAAGCTACCGGGTTGCAGGAGAACTTGGGTCTAACTGGGCTGAGGGAGGCCTAGGGAGTTTCCACCCCCATCCTTTCTGTCCTCTCTGGGAAGAGGGACATTCTGAGAAACACGAACTGAGAGACCCCTGGGGAGCCACTGGTTTACCCACTCCGCCCTGCAGTGCACCTAGAAACGGGGAGGCAACCACGCCCTCCCTATCCTCCCACCTCCTTGCCTCTCTCCTTCTCTCCCTGTAGTCCTCTAGGCCCCTCACCCCTCTTCTAGGCTGTTTGCTGCAGGCTTCTTAACCTCACTTTTTCTCCTTCCTCAGTTCTCTCTACTTTTCCTCTTGCTCCATCTCCCCTTGTTCAGGTCTCCTCCCATGCCCCCCTCCTCTTGGGATTATGAGGTCTGGATCCGGAAGGGATCCTAAGGGCACAGAATGGTGGTTTATCCCCACTTGGGTTCAAATTGCTTGCAGAACGGCCTTGGCAAGTTGGAGAACCTCCTTGAGCTCGGTTTCTCTGCCTGTGATGGGATAATTTTATATTTTAAAAATTGTTGCAAGATTCTAGTGAGGTAAGGCGCTCAGTGTAATGCCTCGTACATAGTAAGTGCTTAATGAATGATCGCTATTATTACTCTACCGTCTTCTTCTTCCTCATCTAGCCAGGCAGTTTTCAGATTGTTTCATGGAACCCTGGAATTTTGAGGGATTTCTCCAGGGACACCATTGGGGTCCAGAGGTGGAGGGAGAGTGGGAAGCAAGAAGTGGTAGAATTCCAGGTCTACCACACTTGATTTCAACAGAGAAATTCCAGTTTTACGTAACTGGCTAAAACGATCTACTTCTTTAAAAAATTTGGAAAGTTCATACTTTACCCAAGCCTCATATTTTGTAGATGAGAAGATTGAGGTCTACAGAGGGGAGGTTTCTTTTTGTTTGTTTTGGGCACCTTAGTTCCCTGATCAGGGATTTGCTCCCTTCATTGGCAGCATGGAGTCTTAGCCACTGGACCACCAGGGAAGTTCCGAGGGGAGGCTTCCTGCCAACAGAATCAGAGCTGGGTCTAGAGCTACAACCCACATTCTCTGCCTTCTCCCAGAGAGCTTTCCCTTCTGCCCCACTGCCCCGTCTCTTACCCTCCCCTCCCTCAACTGGCTGCAGCTCAGCTTTTCCCACCCCCATGCCTGCTGCTGAAGAAAATACCTTGTCTCAGGCTTGGCCAGGGAGGGTCCTGGCTGGATATCGTCTGGCTGAGAGCTGTGGTGCTGATGGTCTCCAAAAGAGCTGTCTATGGGAGATCCTTGGCTGCCCCCAAAGGCCAGCTTTCAAGTAACCTTGTTCTTTCTCTTCAGCGTTAGTGTCAGCCGCTCAGTCATGTCCGAATCTCCCAACCCCGCGCACTGTAGTCCGCCAAGCTCCTTTGTCTATGGAATTCTTCAGGCAAGAATGCTAGGGTGGCTTTGCCATTCCTTTCTCTAGGAGATCTTCCTGACCCAGGGATCAAACCCGGGTCTCCTGCATTGCAGGCAGATTCTTTACTTTCTGAACTACCAGGGAAGCCCTCTTTTTCTTCAGGCACCCTCCAAACCCCATATCATGTCTCTGTGGGGTCTGGTCTCCAAAATGCCCCCAGAAAAACTGCAGCGGCTCTATGTCGACTTTCCTCAACACCTGCGGCATCTCCTGGGTGACTGGCTGGAGAACCAGCCCTGGTGAGTCCTGGCTGCCCCCTTATCAGCCCCCCAGGGGCCCCCCCACCCACCTACCTTCCTTCTCATTAGGTTTTCTTCATCCCATTTTGAGACTTGGGACTCGTTATTCCACATGCAGTGGTCCAGATTTAGCCGGGAGTCTGTACCGCATCAACCAGACTACGGCGTGTTGACACATGGAGTTCCCCACCCCCTTAGGAACCTGAGCCAAAGAGGAGGGAGGTCAGAGCTGGGGCAAGGGCGCCACCCACAACAGCTGGAAAATTGGGGAACAGGGTGCACAGCCGAGGACTGCAGAGGGCCTGGATGGAGGAAAAGAGGAGGAAGGATCTGCTGAGCTGTTTGCTGTGGGGTGGAGGCACTAGAGTCCAGGAATCCCTGGCCTGAGGCAGCCTCATCCTGATCTTCCTGCAGGGAATTCCTTGTCGGCTCAGACACCTTCTGCTGCAACATGGCCAGCGCCCTACTTTCTGCCACTGTCCAGAGCCTCCAGACCTCAGCCGGAGAGCAGGGGGAGGGGAGCACCATCTTGCAACACATCAGCACTCTGGAGGTGGGGGCAGGAGGGAGGGGCCAGGGCCAGGGTGGGGCCTGGAGCTGAGGTGAGCCCTGGGTGCTGGAAGGAAATTGGTATTCCTCTGGTTAGCTGTTAGCTAGCAGGCAAATTAGATTTTAAAAGCGTGCAAATGCATGCAAACTTCTGGAGTCTATGACTGTGCTGCCTTTGAGTTCCTGTGTGAATGGGGGGGTTGGTGAGGGAGAATGACATGGGTGAGAGTGAGGCTAACCCCAGTGACCACCCTTCACTTCTAGAGCATATATCAGAGGGACCCCCTGAAGCTGGTGGCCACTTGCCGACACATACTTCAAGGTGAAAAAAAAGCTGTTATGGAGCAGGTATTGTGATACCCCACCTCCCACCCCAACTCAACCCCCGGGAACTTTAGCCTGAGCCATGAGAAACTAGAAGGGATTTGAACTTCAGGAAAAGCTCAGTGTTCTAGGTCCAAGATGATCATGGGAGGTTCCTGGGGTCAAAGTGAGCCCCAAGTTAAGCTCAGAGAAGCTTCCTGCAAGGGACTGAGGGTAGTGAGGGGCCTGGGGAAGAAAGGGCAAGTGATACAGAGCTGTTATCTCCAGAAGATTCCAAAATGTCAGGAAGAACTGTCAAGGAAGAGAAGGGAGCGAGACAAGGGAAGTGGTCCATCTTCTGCAGAGCAGTGGGCACCCCTGTAGGGAGTGGAGGCTGAGAGAAAAGGGATGGGCAGAGTGTCTCACCTGTCGCTTGTCTTTCCTTGCAGTTCCACCACCTGCCAATGTCCTTCCACTGGAAGCAGGAGGAACTCAAGTTTAACACAGTCCTACGGAGGGTGCAGCACCGGGTCGGGGAGACCCGCCTTCTCCGGGAGGCCCTGCAGCCTGGAGCTGAGGCTGGCCAAGGTGGGGTTCCGGGGAGTGTGTGGGGGCAGCCCCCTCTTGGATCTCAGCCCTGGTTGAACCTCTCAAATCTGTGCACACCCCGACTTTTGCCCTACCCCCAGTGTCTCTGCACAGCTTGATAGAAACGCCTGCCAATGGGACTGGGCCAAGTGAGGTGAGTAATGGGCTGAGATGCGGAGACTGATCCCAAAGTTCAGGCTTTGAGGGTCTCAGATCTGTGGAGGGATGGTGAGTACACCTCTGAGGGGTGAGAAAGGGAGGCTACCCTCCAGAGCTGGGCAAAGAGGAAGCGTGTGGCTCCGGCTCAGGCCCCACCTGCCCACAGGCCCTGGTCACGCTGCTGCAGGAGACTGTTGGTGAGCTGGAAGCTGCTCAGGCCCTGGTGCTGAAGAGGATCCAGATATGGAAGCGGCAACAGCAGCTGGCAGGGAATGGTGCGCCCTTTGAGGAGAGCCTGGCTCCACTACAAGAGAGGTGGGGGCAGGGCTGACAGGGAAGCGGGATGCGCTGGGGGTGGACACCTGCTCTCCCTGCTGGAGGTGTGAGAGAGTAAGCAGGCCAGAGGGTCTCAGGGTGGGCCAAGACTCGGAGAAGCCAGTTCCGGCAGAGCCGCCCCTCCTGTTGTTCAGGTCGTGTCTTGCACACGTGCGCCAGGCTGGCCCGGCAGGGGCATTCCTCCAGCCCATACTTTTCTCTTCGAGCTCCATGCCCAGAGGACTGGGAAGTCCTCTTGGTTTACTGGGCAGGGCATCTTTCAATATGCGCAAAAGCATCATGCGTGCTGGCCTCGGACCTGGGTATCAGACGCCCTGGGGAAGGGGCAGCTCGTTTCCACGGAGCTTCCGGGCACTGAGTGGGAAACCTGCACAGAGCCAAGGCGCGTCCCACCGCCCCTTCAGCCCCGGCGCCCTGCAGTTGGGCCCACTGCTCATCCCTAGCCCTCCACACACACTGCCCTGCTTTCTTCCTGGGCTGAGGGGTGAGGGGCGGTCTGGGCCGGGAGCAGGCTGGGAGACTGTGCCCCTGACCACGGTCCTGGCCCCAGGTGTGAGAGCCTGGTGGACATTTATTCCCAGCTGCAGCAGGAGGTGGGGGCAGCTGGTGGGGAGCTTGATCCCAAGACCCGGGCAGCGCTGATTAGCCGACTGGATGAAGTCCTGCGTACACTTGTCGCCAGGTATGAGCCCCCCTCCTGGTGGAGAGCAGACCCCAAGGAAGCAGACGGGTCAGAGTTGGGGTGGGGCGGCACCTGGAGGGACTGGCTGTTCACTTCCATTGTGTCTTCCTCACTCCTCCCAGCTCTTTCCTGGTGGAAAAGCAGCCCCCCCAGGTTCTGAAAACTCAGACCAAGTTCCAGGCCGGGGTTCGATTCCTGCTGGGCCTGCGGTTCCTGGGGGCCCCAGCCAAGCCTCCGCTGGTCAGGGCCGACATGGTCACGGAGAAGCAGGCGAGGGAGCTGAGCATGCCCCAGGGGCCCGGAGCTGGAGCGTAAGCTGGGGCTGGAGAGAGCCTGGGGGGGTGATGAAGCCCAGAGGAGCCTGGGGGACCGGCACAGCGAAGGGGGCTGGTGATGACAGGGAGGGAGGGCTGTGGGATATGGGGACCCTGGGTAACAGTCAAGCCAGAGGAAGGGGAGGGACCCACCAGTGCTGGAGCGGGGTGGCAGCGTCCTGATTTGGCTAAGATGGGGGTTTCTCCCTCAAGAACCCAAGTAGGGAGATGGAGATTAGGGACCAATAGTCCAGGCTGTTCACCTGTGGACTCGAGCTCCTGCCACTCCTGGGCTGGTCGGGATGAGCCCCTCTCTGACTTGCCCTGGCAGAGAAAGCACAGGGGAGATCATCAACAACACCGTGCCCCTGGAGAACAGCGTTCCTGGGAACTGCTGCTCCGCGCTGTTCAAGAACCTGGTGAGGGGCCTTTGGGGAGCAGTGGGCGGGGGTCCTCAGGCCAGGCAAGTGTCCTCGAGAGGGTGTGGGGAGCCCAGGAGAAGCAGTTTCTGCCCTCCACCTCCTCGCCCTCAACCCCCTCGCCCTCACCCCATCCCCAGCTTCTGAAGAAAATCAAGCGGTGTGAGCGGAAGGGCACCGAATCTGTCACCGAGGAGAAGTGTGCCGTGCTCTTCTCCACCAGCCTCACGCTCGGCCCCAACAAACTCCCCATCCAGCTCCAGGTGAGACTGGGTCCCAGCCCCGCCCGAGGAGGGGCCCCAGGTGCCCCGGCCAACACCGCGAGGCCTGGGTCCTCACTCCTCATGAGTGCCCTGCGCCCTGCAGGCCTGGGGTTCATGCATGTTGGGGCTCCGGGGGAGTGGGGAGGACGAGAACTCAAATGCACACTCCGGGGAATGATGGTGCGTGCTGTTGCATATGTCCCTGTGGGATTCTGTCCCAGTTTTTGCAAGAAGAACTATTTTCCTTAGCCATGCTAATGGCTAAGATATTGAATCACTTTTCTTAGACCAGGGCACTTAAAACGGCACTGTTGTAAGTCATACGCACGCGCACACACGCAGGGTTTGCACTGTGAACGTTACGAGGGAGGTACTCTTACTAGCTTCATTTCACAGATGAGAACACAGACACAGAGACTGAGCACTTAGCCTGGGTCACACAGCTCTTGAATGCTGGAGCTGGCATCTGAAACCTGGAGGTCTGGCTGCATAGCACTGGCTCCTCACCGTGTCTCAGCAGGGAGGCCATAATTCAGCTTCAGAAAGCACTGGATCACACACCATGAATTTTTAACTATGTGGTGGGATTTCAGGAGCTTCCGGGCATCCTCAGAGCCAGCCTTCTGCAGAGACCCCCTCGTCCCCCAGTACCAAGAGCTCCCTTTCCCCCCCTGCTTCAGGCCCTGTCTCTGCCCCTGGTGGTCATCGTCCATGGCAACCAAGACAATAACGCCAAGGCCACCATCCTGTGGGACAATGCCTTCTCTGAGATGGTGAGGCAAGACCCGGAGCTGGGGGAGGAGGGGCTGTAACCTGGGGGCTGGGTGCAGGCTGGTGGGCTGGCCTTGAGAGTGGCCATAACTCCTCCTCATAGACTTGTTTCTGTCCTTCTGACCTCCTTTCGCGCCAATGTTAACACCGCTTCTGTGATGGCACCTTAGACTGCTGTTGGAAAGGCACCATTTTTCTTGAGCAGACTCGGGGGACAAGCTGGGAAGGGACAGTCTGGGCGGGGGGAGGATGCAGGCGCTCCTGAGGAGGGATGGCTAAGTCAGCCTGAGGCTCCCTCCCCTCTCCCCTCCCCTCCCAGGACCGCGTGCCCTTTGTGGTGGCTGAGCGGGTGCCCTGGGAGAAGATGTGTGAAACTCTGAACCTCAAGTTCATGGCTGAAGTGGGGACCAGCCGGGGGTTACTCCCGGAGCACTTCCTCTTCCTGGCCCAGAAGATCTTCAATGACAACAGCCTCAGTATGGAGGCCTTCCAGCACCGTTCCGTGTCCTGGTCACAGTTCAACAAGGTCATTTCCCTGCCCTTTGGATCTTCCACCCCCAAGCTCTTCATCCCTGGGGCACTCAGGGCATCCCCAGCCTCTGCCCAGGGACCGACCGCTAGGATTTTCACAGTGCCCCGCCACGTTCATCAGGAGGGCCTCTGCTCTGGCCTAGGCAGGAAAACCCCTTGGCTCTCTGGCATCCCCCTAGTTTTTGTCTGGGGGCCCTCTGTCCTCCCTTTTGCTAGTGATTTGCATGACTCACCCAGATTGTGTGTAAACACAGCTTTGATTTGAAATGACTTTGACCCACTGGGAAAATAGTTCCTATTGCAAAAACCAGGACAAAATCCCACAGGGACAAACGCAGTAACACCATCGACCATGCGTCAACTGCTTAGTATATGCCAGATTGTACTTGAGCACTGTATGTGTGCTATCTCACTTAATCATCACAAGAAGCTCTTTAAGGTAGGCACTATTACACCCATTTTATAGAGGATGAACCAGCTCAGAGGCATTAAGTAGTTTCTCCAAGGCCTCCCAGCAAGTGAGGCCATATTTCTGACTCTTGCTCTTAGCTACTACATTTTACTGCCCCCAAAATAATGTGGCTCAGGACTGGATCTGTTACAAAAACGGGGGAAAATGGAGGTCTGGGTGTCTTGGTTGAAGACCAGCTGAGTCAATGCTATTATGTACTGATCTCTTTTTTAAAAAAGGAAGAAAGAAAAGCCCACACGACAAGAGGATGTGTTAGCAAAGGGAACAGGACACTTATATCCTGCAAGCTGCCTTCTCTGGACACCACTTCCGCCAGGCCTCATTCGGGAGGGGGTGGAGCACAGTGGTTATGAGGGGGCCCAGCCCAGACTTCCTGGACTAAATCCCAGCCCTGCTTCTCACTGGTTGTGTAAGAAGCAAGTTATTTGATCTTTCTAGGCTTTCATTTCTTCATCTGTAAGATGGGATACTCATGGGATCTTCATCCATAGACGTGTAAAGATTAGATCCAGTAATTTATGGCAAGAGCCTGGACTAGTGCCTGGCACATGGGCAGCCTGAGTGCCGGCCATTGTCGCTGACAGGGTCTCAGGTGCAGCGTGGTCCCCCACATGACTCTGCCACGTCGGTGCTCACAGCCCAGTGCCTGGCCCGGCCAGGCTCCCGCTCTGCCCTCCCGTGCTCACACCGGCTCCCCTCTCCCCACAGGAGATCCTGCTGGGTCGTGGCTTCACCTTTTGGCAGTGGTTTGACGGTGTCCTGGATCTCACCAAACGCTGTCTCCGGAGCTACTGGTCAGACCGGTGAGTCCCTGCTCCCAGGTGACCTGAGGATCTGGGCCTCCAGATCCTGCTCCACACCCCACACACCCTCACCCACATCCTCTCGTTCATCCTGGCAGGCTGATCATTGGCTTCATCAGCAAACAGTACGTCACTAGCCTTCTCCTCAACGAGCCTGATGGAACCTTCCTCCTTCGGTTCAGCGACTCAGAGATTGGGGGCATCACCATTGCCCACGTCATCCGCGGCCAGGATGGTGAGGCCACCCCAGCCACTCCTCTGCCTCTATGACTGTCCCCTCAGGGGCTTGTTCTGAGAAAGGTCCTGGCCTTCTTTGATGCCAACCCCGATCTTCAGGAAGTTCTTCCTTAGGTTCAACTTCTCTTCTTTCTTCTGTGGCCTAAACTTCTACCCTCTCACTCGGAGTTTGGTGGGAATGGGGACTGGTGGGACCCTCACACCAGCTCCTCCTCTCCTTTCCTTGGTAGATTAAGAATGAGTCCAACCATGGGGGTAGGTTGGGGAAGGGGAAGCAAGTCTGGATGGAGGGGACTCATGGCCTCATTCCTTATGCAGGCTCCCCACAGATAGAGAACATCCAGCCGTTCTCTGCCAAAGACCTGTCCATTCGCTCACTTGGGGACCGAATCCGGGACCTCGCTCAGCTCAAAAACCTCTACCCCAAGAAACCCAAGGATGAGGCTTTTCGGAGCCACTACAAACGTGAGCTGTGAGCCGGGGCTGGCAGCTCTGACTCCTTCTGCGGCCCACCTCCTCCCTGCTCCTGGCTGCTCCCACCCCCCCTGCTGTGGGGTGTCATCATCACCCCATCATCCCTGACTTCTTCCCCCATTGTTATTTCCCTGCTTCTGGACCCTGCCCATCATCCATGCTCACCTTTTCCAGCTCCCTTCCTCCCTAACCCGGAAGCATTCCATGGCTCTCCTTTCCTCCCCACAACAGCTGAGCAGATGGGTAAGGATGGCAGGGGTTATGTCCCAGCTACAATCAAGATGACTGTGGAAAGGTGAGTGTGCTGGTGTGGATGGAGGGTGGGGCTGATACTTACTTGTAAGCAGGAGGTGTGGCATCATCCCCTGGTCAGTCACACATACCTCCTCCCCTCCTCCAGGGACCAACCACTTCCCACCCCAGAGCCCCAAATGCCTACCATGGTGCCTTCTTACGATCTTGGAATGGCCCCTGACTCCTCCATGAACCTGCAGCTCTGCCCAGATATGGTGTAAGAAGCTTGAGAGATAGAACTGGGAGTGGTCTGTGCCAGTAGGCATTCAGCATGGGCATGGGGAGAGTTGGCACTGGGGGTTGAAGTGGGGAATTTCCTTTGCTTGAAAGGGATCCCCCAACTTTCTTTTAAAAATAGAATTTTAAAAACCTATTTTATTTTTGGCTCTGCTGGGTCTTCCTTGCTGTGCAGGCTTTTTCTCCAGTTGAGGCGAGTGGGGGCTACTCTCTAGTTGTGGTGTGCAGGCTTCTCATTGCAGTGACTTCTCTTGTTGCAGAGCGTGGGCTCTGGGGTTGACAGGCTTCAGCAGTTGCGGCTCCTGGGCTTTAGAGCACAGGCTCAGTAGTTGAGGGGCTCAGGTTTAGCTGCTCCACTGCATGTGGGATCTTCCTGCAACAGGGATCAAACCCATGTCTCCTGCACTGGCAGGCGGATTCTTTACCATTGAGCCCCCAGGGAAGCCCCGAGATTCCTGGGTAGGGGGTTGGGAGTATCCAGGAGAAGGGCTGGCCTCAAGAGTCTGCTTTCTTTCCCTAGGCCCCAAGTGTACCCACCACGCTCTCACTCCATCCCCTCATATCCAGCCCTCCCCGGGGAAGAATCAGTCAATATGTTGCCAGCCTTCCAGGAGTAAGTGGGGCCACCTCTGGGGAATGGGGTTGGGTCACCCCCTGCAGTGGGGATGGGCACTTGTATTTGTGAAGAGAGGCTCTTCAGTGAGGAAGAGGTGGCAAAAATCCAACACCTGTGTCTCTTCTGTCCACTCCAAGGAGGTGTTAATAGTTAAGATCCAGGTTCAAATTCCAGCTCCACCACTTGCTGACTTCGGGCAAGTAACTTAACTCGGATGCCTCATCTGTAAAATGGAATAATGATGATAATACCTACTTCACAGGATTATTGTGAAGGTTAATTTGAGTTAGTAGTATGTATAAAGCTAAACATAGAACCCAGCTCCTAGTAAGAGCTATGCAAGTGTTAGTATTCTCTCTCCTGCCTCTGAAATCTACTGTCATTTTTCTCTTACCTTGATTTGTATAGGTTTATCTTTCTGGCCTGGAAGTGGCAGACATTTTTGTTCTCCAGGTAGCACTCAGGTGCTTACTAACTCTCAGTCAAGGCAGGATATCTTCCCCCCATAGGAGCTGAGGTAGAGGTGGGATCTTAGAACCAGCAGAGTTAAGAGTCCAAAGAAACAGCAGAAATTAGCTAATCTATCCTTCCTCTGTCCCCCGCTCCAGTCCCCAGTGCATAGAATAACATTTATACAGAGAAGAGGACCAAACTCACAGGTAGAAATGACTTGCCCAAGGCGATGCCATCAGGATGAGGAACTGGAAGTAGTTTCCGTGCTCAATGGGCTTGACTTTGCGACAGCTGCCCTGGCCCGCCCTCCTTTGACTGTTCCCTCCCCTTCCTGCTTCCAGACCTCACCTGCCGATGCCTCCCAGTCTGAGCCAGATGAGCCTGCCCTTTGACCAACCTCATCCGCAGTGAGTGACCACCATCCTGAGCTCAAGCTCCTCATTCATTCCCAGCCTCAACCCCACCCTGACCCCCAGCACCAGCTCATTTACTTCTCCGGGGCTGGCAGGGGCCTGCTGCCGTGCCCGCCGCAGGATCACGCCGTGTCCAGCCCCGAGCCCTTGCTCTGCTCAGACGTGGCCATGGCAGAGGACAGCTGCCTGAGCCAGCCAGTGGGGGGGTTCCCTCAAGGCACCTGGTGAGTGTCAGCCTGCAGGGGGTGGCTGGGGGGGTGAGGTGTGGGTACCATGCCCATCTCACTGCTGCTCCACTTCCTCCCTGCAGGGTCCGTGAAGACATGTTCCCGCCCTTGTTGCCTCCGACGGAACAGGACCTAACCAAGCTTCTCTTGGAGGGACAAGGGGAGTCAGGGGGAGGGTCCTTGGGAGCCCAGCCCCTCCTGCAGCCCTCCCCCTACGGGCAGTCTGGGATCTCAATGTCCCACCTGGACCTAAGGGCTAACCCCAGCTGGTGACTCCAGCTGGAGGCGGAGCCCAGAGAGACCGCTCCCCTGCCCCCACGGGCCTGCTCTGGGCACCTGCCCCCGCTGCTGCCCAGCAGCAGAGAGGGATCTGTGGCCTCCTCTCCCCACCCACTCCCTGCTCAGGAGGAGAAGACTTTGCCAGGAGAAGGTACACTGGGTGGAACATGCCTACTCCTTCCCTTCCCACACACCCCTGCCCTCTCCCTTCCAGACAGTGGAAGGGAAATTCAGGTTCCAAGTGAGACATGTCCCAACATGCCTGCACAGACAGCGCACGAGAGCCCGCACACGCGCGCACACACACACACACACGCACACAAACACATGCGCTCTCCTTGGAAGATGGCGCTCAGCAGGAAGAGGGCTGGACAAGAGCACAGGTGCGGGCAAGCGGGGGGATTTCTCCGCCTGCCCCAAGCCGGGGCTCAGCACTCACGGATGGAAACACACACATGCACACATCTGCTCCACAGACGGAGGATGGCGCTATGGGCCTGGACCCCGGCCCTGGAGAGACGGGAAGCAGTTCAGGAGACCCTGGGAGGGAGGTGGGGTGGGGTCTGTACATTTGGTTACAGATGTGGCTTTTGCCCAGATTAAAAAAAAAAAAGTCCCAACCAGCTCCAGATTCTTGTCAGTCAGCTTGAGGCTTCAGGATACGTGTGTGAGATTGTGCAGGAGTGCTAGGGCTGAGTCTGTGTATAGCCAGGTGAAAGCATGTGCACTTGGGACATGTTAACATGTGGATGTCACACATTAGTTGTCTGGCTACATACAACACTGACCTCTCTGACTGTGCCTGTGTGACAGCATAAGTTAGCAGGTATGAGATACGGCCCACAAGGCCCCAGAGAGTATGCTGGCCTCTCGGACGTGTGCCCCCAATGTACTCAGTTCTGGGCATGACTGTGCCCACGTGGGTCTATGTGGCTGCGGCATCTGCTTATCAGGCTGTGGCTTTGGTGGCTCACCACCCCCAGTCCTGCCCGGAGGCAGAGTGTGAAACTGGGGTCCAGATTCAGGTGTGTGGTCCCCTTGCTTCTTTCCTATTTCCCCCACCCACCGCCAGCTTCCCTCCACTTTCCCACCCCATGCACCCTTTCTCCATCTTAGGGGTCAGAGATCCTAAGCCATAAAATAAATTTTATTTCAAAATAACAAAATAAATAATCTACTGTACACGATCTGAAAAGAAAGACGCTCTAACTGCTCAGACAGGTGCTGCCGCCCAGCCCCCAGCTGAGGGAGGACCCTGAGTCCACCCAGGCCTCCCGAGGGGGCCGGGGAAGGGGACCCCACACCCCCGAGACAGGGCAAGGAGGAGAGAACGCCGAGGGCTTGGGGGGGGGAGATGGGGGCCGGGGGGCAAACTGCAGCACTTGTTAAATTAAAGAAACAGACTAGAAGCACGAAAATGGGGGGGCAGCGGGGGAGGAGCACATCCGTGTTCCAAGGCCCCCGGATCTGGGGGGAAATGTTTCTATTTTTAGCTGCTGGACCCTCCCAGAGAAGTCCCCCTGTCCCCCATGTCCAAACTGAGTCCAACTGCTCGTGTCACCGGTTCAAACTGGAGAGAATGGGAGTGTGCGGTGTAGGGGAAGGGGACCCCAAGTGCCCTGGGGGCAGAGTTCTCGCCTCCTTGCTCTAGGCAAGGGGGAGGGGGCACCGTGCTCCCTCCCTGTGTCCTCTGGCCAGGCCCCTGCTCGTTATTGCTTGAAGCCCCATAGTCCTATGCCCATGGGGCGGGGGGGGGGGGGGGGGGGGGCGCAGGAGAAGGGCAGGGGGAGGAATCCGGGTCGTGACGGGAAGGCAGGGTGAGAGTGGAGGGTCTGTATAAGACAGAAGCCTGCGGTCTGAGGACGCCAGTCCGCCCCTCACTGCCGGCTGGCCTCCGCCTCCACCTTCACGCTGCTCCTCCGGCCTTCCACCAGCGCGGGATGCGGGCCTGGGGCCGGGCATCGGTCCAGAAGGCCCTCCTCGAACTCTGCGGGGAGAAGGACCAGGTCAGGCGGCTGTGGGCTGGACGCCGCACACGGAGGTGGCTGAGCAGAGAGGCGGGGGCGGGGAAGGCTGCGGGGACGAGCTTGGTGTACTGACTCCGGCCCACTTCCCGTCCAGGGGTGGGGGGCGGGGCCGCACCCCCCAGCGCGTGCGCCCCCTCCTCTTTCTGGCCGCGTGTAGCTCGCTGTCTCTGTGTGTGTGTCTCTCTCTGTGTCTCTCCCGCCTCCGTTCTGCTGGAATTTCTGGTTCTGTCAGGAGCTGCGGGGGCGGCTTGGCTCCGACCTCTCCCCCTCCCCCCTCCCCGGCTCTGCCGCCCGCACTCTTTCCTGGCCTCCTCCCCGGCCCCACCCACCGCGCCAGGCCCCCCAAGTTTCTTAGAAGCCAGAACAGGGGGAACACAGGAAGTCAGGCTCCCAGCTCCTCCTCCAAGAGCCCCCCTTTCAGTCCCCACACCCACTTCCCACCCACGCACAGTTTAAAAATACCAAGCTAGGGTTGGTGGCTTCGCCTTCTGCGTCACTCTCAGCCCAGCGATGCCCGGCCCTCTCCGCCGGCCTACTTGCCTGACCCCTCCCCATCCCCACACAGAGCATCCCCCTTCCCCGTCGGGCTCCTCCAGTTCCAAGCCGGCAACCCCACTCCAGCGCCCCGCCTGCTCCACCCGCTCGCACTGGCGCAACTTCAGCCAGGCTTCGTTGCTGCTGGCTCTCCTCTTCCTGCTCCCCTCTGCCCCCCCTCTGTCTCCCTGCTCCCCTAGCTCCCCCTCGCAGATTACGGGTTGGACCCTCCCTCCTGGGAACAGCCCCGCAGGGTCCCCCCTCCTCGACGCAAGGCCTGGCTGGCTGGAGTCCCACCATCCTGCCCTCCCCCCGGCTGGCCCCAGGGCACCAGGATCGCTGAGTGGGGCCTGAGCGGGTGCTTGGGGACAGCACTGCTGGCTGCCTCACCTGCGAGAGGTGGCTTCGCAGGCACACAGGGGCTGAGGCGGCCCACGCGGTCGTGGGAGACGAGGCGGGCTAGCCGCAGCCCCTCATCCATCAGTGTCTGCTGCAGGATGTGGCGGCTCCACAGCCCGTGGGCTGGCAATGCCAGAGGCAGGTCAGCAGGGGGCGGCGTCAGCCTTGGACATGACCCCACAGCTGCGGGCATGGGCACGGGTCAGGTAAGGGACCACAGCAACGGAACCCCCACCCTCAGCCACACAGCCAGACCCACAGGCCCAGGCCCACTGGCCCCGACCCGGCCAGGCCTCCCAAGCCCGCTCCAGGCAGCTGCCTCCCGGCGCCCTCCTCCCGGGCCCTCTACCCCCAGTAAGAGGGTTGTGACGCACACTCACCCTGCAAGTGCCCATCCAGGCTCTCCCCAGACAGGCTGGTGCTGTCCTCCTCCAGGCTGGGGCGGAATGGGGGAGCATAGGGTTCAGGGCCGGGAGGAGGCTGCTGGGTTTCAGAGTGACTTTGTTCTCCAACCTGTGGATGCCCCAAATGAGGAAATGAGGGTTGGCAAGGGTGTGGGTGGGGGACGGCTGCCCTAACCCCCGACGTTTGCCCTGGAAAACCCACCTCTTGTTTCAGTTTCTTCACGGGGGGACCTCCCAGTTCTTCAGGGTGGAGCCTGCGAAGATGGAGCGGAACAAGGACAGTGAGGCAGGGGAGGGACACGTGGCAGACACATAATCTAAAATGCATCATTTCCAGAATCTGGAAAGAGGCTAGCGAAGCAGGTGTGCCCAGCTCAGGCGCAACTGCTGCAGGGGCAGAGGGGGGCCTGAGATGGATGGGAGGAGGGCCCAGACCTCAGACAAATGGGCTTGGTCAAAGCAAGGCGGGTGGGAGGCAGGACGAGAGGCACCTGAACGGGAAGGCAGGATGTGACCCCGCTCCTAGGCACAGGAATCTGATCAAGGAAGAACCTAGAGAAGGGGGTCTCACCTGGAACCCTTCAAGGACGATAGGTAGGTGCTCTCTCGGGCCACTTGGCGGGACAGGGAGAAGAGTTCCACCCTCCGCAGTAAGAGGGTGTTGTCCCTCATGCAGAACTGGGCAGCAGCCTCGTTGATGGTCAGCTGTGAAGAGGACCATCAGAGCAGTCAGAATCCTGATTCACTCACTACCTTGCCCAGACCTCCTCCCTCCCATTCTCCATCAGACAAATGAGACCACCCATCAGGTGCTCGCTTGGGTTTCTGACACTACCAGGTATTTCCTGGGGGAGGAAGACAGAAGGCAGCACCCAGAGCTTCCTATGAATGCCAGGGGCCTCCTCCAATGCTGTGGGGTCCCGGCTAGCATGGAACTGGACAGCTGGGCTCTTGCCTGTGTCTTTGCACCCCCCTCAGTGGAGCAGGGAGGCACAGCAGCAGCTGGGCTTGGTGGAGGAGGGGATCAGGGCTTTGGGTCCTGGTCACCGGGCAATGAAACAGACTTGGTAAATGTGAGGATTCTCAGAGGTAAGCGGGTCAAGCTCTAGATGTCCCGGGCAATCCTGGCAGGCTGGGGTCCTCACCTCGTGCAGGCTGAGCTGCTTGCCCTCCCGCCGCTTGGAGTCAAAGCGGCCATAGATGATGCTGTATTTGCGGATCTCCTCCTCCTTCTGGCTGTCATTATCGTCCATCTCAAAGATGTGGCCCACGCTCCGTGCCAGCTTCTTGTTCAGCTTCAGCAGGGATGTCACCTCCCCAGCATCCCCCCTTGGGAAGCTTCGGAAGATCCTCTCCACGCTCTCCACCACCATGCGCACCATCTCTGGCTCCAGTCGATCCGGACCACCCCCAGTCCCAGCTGCTGCCAGCCCCCCAGCCCCAGTCCCCTCAGGGCCACCTCCCCCTGCCGGTGGGGAAAATGGGGGTGAGCCAGCCTCCTCGTCTCCTCCTGCCCCAACATCGGACTCTGGAGTGCTCCGGCCTGGCCAGATCCGGGGGTCCCCTGCCCCAGGTCCCCCAGGCAATGGTGACAGCTTCTCTCCAAGTTCAAGGGGGCTCTTGGGGCTAAAACTGCGGGCACTGCCCGCCTTTTCCCCTGGGCTACCATGCCCATTGCTCATGCTCCCTTTCCGACTCCCAGCCGTCTCAGAGATCTTGAAGAGTGGGATGCTGGAGACAGGCACGGCAGGCACGGGCTGGCTGAAAAGCCCTGGGTTGGTGGCCCACTCTCTCAGAGCCTTCTGCAGGCGTCGGACGTGGAGGGGCTTCGTGGCCATGCCCACGAGCGCCATGATCTCCAGGAACTCCTCCTCCCCCGCCTCGCACAGCTGCTGCACGTCGTCCCCTCCCTGCTGGATGAAGGTCTCGTAGTAGGAAAGAAGGTTGGCGCGCTGCAGGACCCGGTACAGCTGCAGCTCCCCCAGGGTCCGAGGCAGGGCCATGGCTCGGGAACTGGGCCTGGGAAGGAGGCGCACAGGGTGGGGGGGTGGCAGTCAGCGCAAGTTCCCTGCTGGGTACCAACCCACCCTCACAACTGCCTTCTCTCTCCTGCCTGCTTCTCCTCCCCACTGTTGAATGCTCTCTCTGCAGAGACTTGAGCACAGACTAGGCGAACCAGCCGCTGCTCAGAGGCAGTGCTATCCCAGACTGGCTAGAAGTACCAGAAGCCAGACTGGTCTCTTGTGGGAGTCAAAGGCTCCAGGCTCCCCCATCCTCAGCGTTTACTTTTGTGGTCTGGGGCAAGGAGACCATGAGTCTGAGGCCAGTCAGTACACCCCTGGATTAGCTGGACCAACCTCTCTTCCAGAACACCATCCTCACCTTCCACCCTACACACCTAAGCAGTCTTAACAATACAAAGTTAATGTCCAAGCTCAGGTGAACATAGGACCCTTGTCCTCCCTACAAGGGAAACTAGGGCCACTGCTGGCCAGCTGTATTCCCTGGTGGCATCCTGCTCACGTGGCTGAGCGGGAGGGGTGTGGCCCCTTCCCCTGCCCGTTCTCACTGTGAGCCAGGCAGACCACCCTCTGCTCCCCTTTCCCACCCCTGCTCAGCTTTTCCCACGGCTGAGGCATTCTCTGCACCTTCTTGGTCTGCCTCCCCAGGACCTCCCCTGCCTTCCAGACTGCCCAGGGCCCCTCAGCTGGTCCCTCTTCCAGCAGCGACCTTCCCACCTGCTCCATTGGTAGGGCCATCCCTTCAGCTCAGGCACGGGGGACGGGAGGGGTGCCTCAATTGTTCTGCTCTGGGGCCCGGTCCGCCCCCACACACTCCCACAGTGGTAGCGTCTGTGGGCGAAAACCGCCGGGGGGGCCTCCCGCCTACTCTTCTCTCCTTCATTTTTCCACCCACATCTTCAAGTGTTGTGGGGGAGCGATTCAAGGAGGCCTCTCGAGGGAGGGGTTGCACATCGAAACTCCCCTCCCCACTCTGTAAATAAAGCTACAGAAATGAACAGACGCCTAAGGCTCGCCCCGCTTCTGCAAAGCTCCTCCGATGCTCTCCTGGTTCAAAGGCGCCGGCTTATCCCGGATCCCGGAGCCGCGCGCTCGATACCAATGACGCGCTGAGCCAGCTGAGCGGCCCTCCGCCCGCACTATTGTCAGCTAGAGCCCCAGGGCTTCCCCTGCCGCCTGGGAGCCCCCACATTCTTTGCAGGGGGCTCACGTGCCAGGTCATGCCCCCAAAATAAACGGGCGATGGAGAATTAGATACTACTTTCTCTAGTCTTTCCAGTTGCATCAGATCCCTGTCTGCTCCCCTGGGCCCCCGAATTCGAAGACGCACCCCCTTTCCGTCAGTCTCCACCCCCCACCCCCGTCCCGCTTCCCCTCGTCCTCTCCTCGACCTCCGCCCTCCGGACCCCTCTCCCGAGTCCAGCTCCACCCATCTCCACTCCCCGCCGCTTCCCTTTGCCCACTAACTTGAGTCTGGGCTGCGGGGTCCGGCGGGCGCTGTCCCCTCCGCCCGGCGGCTGCTCGGCTGTGGGGGAGGCAGCTCTGTGCATGGACGGCTGGAGACCACCGGGGGTGCCCTTCTCAGTGCCCGGCGCTCAGCGCCTGCTGCGCGCTTCGCTCTTCCCCGCGCGCGAGGCCGTGTCCGCCGCTGTCCGGGCTCCGTCCCTCCCTCCACGTCTCCTCTCTCCGAGCCTCCGCGCCTCTGTCTGTGCCTCTGCCCCCCCCTCCCCGGCTGCGCTCGCCGCCTCTCCGCGCCTCCGCCCCCGCAGGACGCACGGGGAGCGAGGCCCGGCGCAGAGCTGGCTGCCGGGCGGGCGGAGGGCGTGGGCCGAGCCGGGGGCGGAGGCCGGGGGCGGGGGGCGGGCGCCCGGGCCTCTCCGCCGGGCCGGGGAGACGCCGCGGCGGAGAGACGGAGAGAGGCGGAGATGGGGGGGGGAGGGGAGGAGCGTGGAGACGGAGGCGGGGGCGGGGACTCAGCCCGGGGCGCCGAGTCGGAGACTGAGGTGACCGAGGCCGGGCTGTGGAAGGCGGGCTTGGGGATCCAGCGGGCGGGGCGAGGTCGCTCCGTGCCGCCCACGCCGGATGCACAGCCGGCCTTCTCCGCGCCCACGTACCCACGTGAGCGCCCAGCCGGCGACATTCTTACTCCCACTCCCCCTTCCCCTCCGAGAGGAGAGCGGAGTTTCACAACCACGCACAGGTACACAAAGGCAGCGAGCACCGCAAAGGACGGCACACGCGTCTGAACAGCTTCGCGGACGCCTGCTGCCCACGCTCCAACCTCGCGGTGCTGTGCTTGTGAACGTTAGGAGTGAGCCGGGAAAAGTTGTTGGAGACTCGGGGTGCGCGTCTCCTTTCGTGCGCCTGACTCCCATAGAGAGTGCGCTTAAGGCAGGTCTGTGAGCGTGGGGCTCCGCAGCAATCTCTTCCATCCCCAAACGCTCTCTCCCAGCCCCTGAGGAGCTGTTTGAAGAGCCAGTTCTCGGAAACCCAGGCGCCCTTCCATCGCCGCCTGGAGTCCACGTCCAAGTTTGGGAAACAGGCATGGGCGGGGCTTGTTAGAAGCCGCCGCTTAGGCGCGCGCCGATTCCTGTCGCGACGGGTTCTGTTAGCGCTAAGGCCAGGGGTGGGAGGGGTACGCCGCCTTCCTCTGCTCGTCGCTCCGTTTGCTGAGGATGGGGGCCTGTTCCTGGGAGACTGTTCTGGCAGCCCTGGAGAGGGAGGATGCCCTTTCTAGGGACGTCTGTTAGGGCACTTGGCCCGCAAGAGTCCAGAGTGAGATGGGCAGCAGGCCGAGTTTGTCCGACGTGGCTCCCTACCGAGGAGTAGGAGGGAGGAGCTCCTTGGAGGAGCCTGCCCCTCTCCGAAGCCCACTCCCTACCCCCTTTGTTTCTCCCAGCTCCATCTGGTTCCCATTACACTCCCGCCCACGGCTGGGAGGGCGGACAGGCGGGAGCTCTGAGCGCCCGGCCCTGCGGCTCTAGGCCCCGAGGAAATGAAGGAGGGTGGGGGGAGGCGGCGGGAAGCGAGCCGGCAGGCCAAAAGCAAGGTTCCCCCTGGTCCAAAACCTCCGCCCCGCCCACCCTTCTCCACTTCGGAGTGGCCCGGGGCGGCCTGGAGTGGGTTGCGTGGGCCAGGGTTGGTTCTACATTCCGGCCTGGCGAGGGGACCTTTTGGGCCTTTAGTGGAGGGCCGGAGGCGGGGGGCATGCATCGCATCACCGGGGGAATTTCGATAGCCAAGATTCTCTTCTCCATTCCATGAAGCCACAAACATGGGGGTGGGGAGTGATAGGAACGGACTGAGCCCTCCGTCCCGCAACTGGAGGGCGTGGCGATGCGGGGTCCCTCCGGGGTCATCCCCGACCCCCCTTAGGTGTATGGGCGCCCCTCCCCCATCCCCCTCTCCGGTTATTTTAGAGCCTGGGTTGCCAGCGGCTGGCCCCGGGTTTCCACGTGCCTCCTCCCTCCCTCTGCCCACGCGCCCCGTGACGCACATCCTCCGCCCACGCGGCCTCTGCTCTAGGCGCCCCCCTTGGGGCGGGGCCGAGCCCGGGGATCTGTGGGGAGTAGCCGGCCCGCCGCGGAAGAGGGCGGAATAGGGCGTGAAGCAAGGGGGCGGTAACCGACTGGGCACTCGGCCTTGGGTCCCGGCCCAGGAAACAGAACGGGGAAGGGACCTGGCCCTGGGGCCGGTGCTGGGCCAGAGAGGGAAGAGGGGAGAAAAACCCCGCGCATTGGGCTAGCCTACGCCCCGCGGGGTCAGAAGAAATCTGTTTGGGTGCAAACGTGTGTTTGAGAGTGAAACTCCCGAGTGTTTGCATCTTTGTTTCTCGGGGTTGTCGTGAGGTTCAAGTGAGAGTGTATCTGAAAACTGTAAATTGTGAAATGCTCAGAAGCAAATTTAAGACGTTATTCCCAGTTTGTACTTCTGTACCTCGAGGTTGTGTATCTATACGTTTCTTTACATCTACTTGTGTGTCCGTGTCTCTAGGTTTGTGAGCCCCTCTGCGTAGATTTAAAAACATGTACATTTTAAAAACCATTGACTTGTCAAGCCCCGCCAGAGGCCCAGACTCCCCCGCAGCGGGAGCTGCTGAGATGTCTGTTCTTCGCTTCCCTCCCACACCAACCACCTCCAGCTCTGCTCCTCCTCCCTTCCGTTGAGAACAAGGAATTTCCAGCCCTTAGCAAATGGAGAGAGAAACAAAGAGACCGAGATTAAGAGAAACTAGGGAACAACAATAAAGACAAGATACAGGTGGCGGGGGGGGGGGGATTGACAAAGAGATGCATCAGATTTAAAATAAATTAATTTCTTCTCTATTTCCCCTTGAGCCCCGTTTTCCCCAGGGTGGCTCAAGCCCGCTTCTCTACCGGGCTCACCTGCTTCCCTCCTCCTTCCAGGGCGGTGTTCTCAGAGGGACGCAGAGCTGAGCAGCGGGTCCCATTTAATCAAGGATTAGTTTAATGCTACACCGATCTCTTCCAGGAAGGGAAACCATCCTCAGTCGCAGTTTTCCAAGAACAGAGAAAAAGATTGTGAAGGAAGTGGGTGGAAGAGGGGTGAGGAAATTGCTAACCAGAAGGATTGTCATTACTAGGCACGAGTAGATTTGCATCCGGAAGATTGCCCTGCTCACCAACGACCCTCGCCCACGTTTTCACCAGGGCAAATGCAGCGCAAATATCACGGTCCTGGTCCCTATCCTTCCTGCAACTCCGCTAGGCAGAATTAATTCCTCCCATCCCTCAGTGACACCCCCCCCCCCCCAAGGCTCTTCGTGCCTGTTTCACTTATAGTTGACTGTTTCCACCTCTAGCTTAGGACTTCTGATCTAGTATCTGGTGGGTCCTCTGAAATGAGTGACTTGATGATGCTATTTCCAGGCCTGAGCAGCTTTGAAAAGGGCAATTGACACAGAGGGGGCTGAAACGGCAGAACTGTTCAAGTGGTGACAACTGTTTTCCATGTCTCCTTCCTTTTTAAAGTTGCCAGTGAGTCTCGCAAGTCTGGCTTCTTGGCCTTCTAACGTTTGCTATCTTGGTAAATTAATTCATACCCAGGTGCCAAAGGTAAAAGTCTGAGATCCTTGCTGGTAACAAAAATATGAATATAAAGTAATGAGCTTCTTTTTTCTTTTTAAGCTCTTTCATTAACATGTTAGAATTGTAGTTGCAGTATTGTCCTTCAGTTTAGCCATCTCACCAGAGATGCTTCACCCTCAAAGACAAACCTCATTTCTGTGTTTATGGAGCTGCATAGGTAGTAAGGGAGGTAGACACATAATTACAATAAAGTGCAATAATAGAGCTACAAACAATGATAGAGGCATGGCGGCAAGTGATATCTTCTGCTTGGGGCTGTGAGGGGCTGGTTGAGACAGGCATCCAAAGGAGGTGATGATGCAACCTAGAATTTTGAAGTATAAATAGATTTCCAGGAAGAAGGGAGAATCAAGTCACAGAAAACAGAGTTTAAATGTACATGGAAGTACGAAACAGAATGATACATCAGAGAAATTAGAAATTGTTCATTATTGCTGGATGGGGGTTGCTGGTGATTAAAAAGGAGCCCTGGGAGGTGTACAAGGCCATTTCATTTAGGATATTCTAGACCAGTGCTTCTCAACCTATAGTAAAGGACAAGTTTTTTAAAAAAATCATTTATCTATTCATCTATATATTTTGTGCTGGGTCTTCATTGCCGCACTCGCTTTTCTCCAGTTGTGAAGGCCGGAGACTGCTCTCCAGGTGAGGTGCCCGGGCTTCTCACAGCAGTGGGTCCTCTTGTTTCGGAGCACAGGCTCTGGAGCGCAGGCTCAATAGTTGTGGTGCACCAGCTTGCTGCTCCACGGCGTGTGGGATCTTCCCAGACCAGGCGTCAAACCCGTGGCTCCTGCACTGGCAGGATTCAGGACTACTAAGCCACCAGGTGAGCCCGGGACCAACTTTTAAAGCAATTTACAATCACTGTAGAGTGCACTACTCTGTAAAAAACACTAACAATGAATTGTTTTTAAAAATCCCCATTTTATTAGATTCAATAAATATAAGACTTTGCTGTCAAATTGCTATAGAAGTTTCTAAATGCCTGCACTTAATTTCTGAGATTGTTTCACTGCAGATTGGTAACAAACTTTGGACGAGATGGTTGGATGGCATCACCGACTCAGTGGACATGAATTTGAGCGAGCTCCGGGACATGGTGAAGGACAGGGCAGCCTGGTGTGCTGCAGTCCACGGGGTCACAACGAGTCGGATACGACTGAGCAACTGAACCGCAAAGACAGCAGCAAAGTTTGGCTGGCACTGCCGTAGCTAAAAGTCATCTCTTTTATTTAAGTGACACGCATATGAGGCGCTCTGTGAGCACAGAGGATGGCCTTGTTTGTTTTTATCTATTTGGCTGTGTTGGGTCTTGGTTGCGGTACTGGGAATCTTCATTGCATCGTGGGGGATCTTTCATTCTGGGGCACGGACTCTCTAGTTGTGGCTCACGGGCTAAGCTGCTCTGTAGCATGTAGGATCTTAGTTCCTCAACCAGGCAT